CTTCTGTGCCTGCAGGTTGGGTGGGGCTGCTCCTGCCCCCAGCGTTTGAGGGACTCGGTGAAGGTGCAGCTGCTGAGCCGAACCTTCCCAGCAGAGGGAATTCACAGCCCCTGGAGCCACAGAGCTGCTGGATCCCCGTGCCCTGGGAGCTCTCCGTGTCCTACCTCTGTGCCCCAGCACTTTGCACCTTCTCCCCCACCAGCCCCGAGTGCCCTGAGCGAGTTTGGCCAGAAAATCCAGCGGGGTTTTATATTTTTCTTGGGTTTTTTTTAAAAAAAAAAATGCTTGAAGGACTTGGTGTTTTCATGGTTTCTCTGCATCACTGTGTCAGATGAAGAGAAGAAGAGCTTTAATCTTTCATCCTCTTATTTATTCAGGATTTACTCCCACTTTAAACGTGCTGGAGTGGTGCTGGTGGCTGTGGGAAGGCATTGCCGACCTTTCCCTGCTGCAGAGGAAGAGGATGGAGTGGGAACACATCCCTGTCACCTCGCCGTCCCTGGGGAATGGCACAGGGAGGGCCCTGCTGGCCCAGCCCTTTGTTGGGGACAATGGTTCTGCTCCTTTCCCAACTGTTCTGTGACCTGAGGGCTGATGAGGAGCCAAAATTCCCTGGTGATGAGCCAGGGCAGGTGTGGGGCAGCCATAGGGATTGCCAGGAGCAGGAGCCGGAGATGTTTGTGGGAAGGCTCAGCCACCCCCCTGCCTGTCCCCAGGGTGATTTAGGGGCTGTGCCCACATCCACAGCCCAGGGAGCAGCAGGGTCACAAATCCCACCCTGCTGTCCCCACATCCACATCTCCATCCCAGGAGCAGCAGGGTGACAGGGTGACAGATCCCACCCTGCTGGGCCCATCCCACATCTCCATCCCAGGGAGCAGCATCCAAAGCTGGGCAGGGCGACAAATCCTACCCTGCTGTGCTCATCTCACATCCCCAGCTCATCTCCCCATCCCACATCCCTATCCTACCTCCCTATCCCAGGCAGGAGCAGGACAGGGTGACAAATCCCACCCTGCTGGACCCATCCCAGATCCCCATCCCATGGAGCAGCATCCAAAGTTGGGCAAGGTGACAGATCCCACCCTGCTGGGCTCATCCCACCTCCCCATCCCACACCTCCATCCCAGGGAGCAGCAGGGCAGGGTGACAGATCCCACCCTGCTGGGCTTATCCCACCCATCCTGGCACGTCCCAGGGAGCAGCAGGGTGACAAATCCCACCCTTTTGGGTTTATCCACATCTCCATCTCAGGGAGCAGCAGGACAGGGTGATGGATCCCACCCTGCTGTCCCCACATGCCACCTCCCCATCCCAGGAGCAGCAGGGTGACAGATCCCACCCATCCTGGCACATCCCACATCCCCATCCAACCTCCCCATCCCAGGGAGCTGCAGGGCAGGGTGACAGATCTCACCCTTCTGGACCCATCCCACATCCCCATCCCAGGGAGCAGCAGGACAGGGTGACAAATCCCACCCTGCTGGGTTTATCCCACCTTCCCATCCCACATCCCCATCCCAGAGAGAAGGGCAGGGTGACAAATCTCACCCTGTTGGACCCATCCCACATCCCACATCCCCATCCCAGGGAGCAGCATCCAAAGCTGGGCAGGGTGACAGATCCCACCCAGCTGGACTCATCCCACCCATCCTGGCACATCCCAGGACCAGCAGGGTGACAGATCCCACCCTTCTGGACCTATCCCACATCTCCATCCCAGGGGGCAGCAGGGCAGGGTGACAAATCCCACCCTGCTGGCCTCATTTCACTCCCACATCTCCATCCAAGGCAGCAGCATCCAAAGCTGGGCAGGATGACAAATCCCACCCTGCTGTGCCCACCCCACCCACCCTGGCCCATCCCAGGGAGAAGCAGGGTGACAAATCCCACCCTGTTGGGTTTATCCCACATCCCCATCCTGGGAAGCAGCATCGAAAGCTGAGCAGGGTGACAAATCCCACCTTGCTGGGTTTGTCCCACCCATCCTGGCACATCCCTGGGAGCAGCAGGGTGACAGATCCCACCCATCCTGGCACACCCCACATCCTCATTCTGGGGAGCAGCATCCAAAGTTGGGCAGGGTGACAGATCCCACCCTGCTGTCCCCACATCCCACATCCCCATCCCAGGGAGCATCAGGGTGACAAATCCCACCCTGTGGGTTTATCCCACCTCCCCATCCCTCATCTCCATCCCAGGGAGCAGCAAGGTGACAAAACCCACCCTCCTGGGCCCATCCCACCTCCCCATCCCAGGGAGCAGCAGGACAGGGTGACAAATCCCACCCTGCTGGGTTTATCCCACCCATCCTGGCACATCCCAGGAGCAGCAGGGTCACAAATCCCACCCTGCTGTGCCCACCCCACCCACCCTGGCCCATCCCATCCCTCCCCCCGTGCCAAGGCAGCAGCAGGAAGGAGGAGCAGGAGCAGCAGGAGCAGCAGCAGCTGCAGGGCTGTGCCCAGCCTGAGTTTCTTGCAGGAACACGCCAAGGGTGCCCAGGAGCCTCCCCTGCCCAGGAAACATTTCCCCGGTGGAATTTGGCACCAGAGCTCCCCATTCATTTTAATTATAAAAACCAACATCCTGAATGTCAAACCCAACTGTTTGCTGTGCTGAGGTGGAGCTAATCCATCCCTTCAGAGCTTTTCTCCCAAGAATTATTTTCTGGGCTTTCTAATGGACGTTATTTCGAATCCAGGCAGAATTTTCTGATATTCATAAAGGAGCAGGGTCCCTGCTGCACCTCTGGCACTCACTGGAGCTGCACTGACTCGCACCAGCTGAGCATTTGACCTGAAACATGTTTGGCTTCAGCTAAAAGGGATTTATTTCTTGGCAAACAGAAAAAAGAAGTTTTGCTAATAGCCCTTGTCATGCTTTAACTGCTGTAGCACAGCAGCTGCAGAGGGGACTTCTGGAATCCAAATGGAACAAGAGTTTTCCTGCCAATGTTAATTACTTGGGGTTTTCTTTTTCCCCCCCAAAAAAATATTTTAACCCGTGGCCTAAAAAATATTTTAACATGAATACCTGAAGGGACAGCTGGGAAGGATAATGACTGTCAGGAGCTTCTTGTGCAGGCTGTGCTTGCTGTGGGGACAGAAAATATTACATTTATTTAGTGTTTTTATGCCCTGAGGCTGCAGAACAGAGGCTGGAGATGTCTCGTGGGATGGTTTTGGGAAAATGAGTCCAGAATGGTTTTAGGAGGTTCCCAGCCAGGTGCCAGGTAGACTTTCACCCTCAGAAATTTCCTTTATTGTAGGTGATTCCTGATACAAGGAACAGTTTGGACGACATAGGATAAACCAACAAACTTTTGTGGAATTTATTGAGGAATAAATCTGCTGCTGTTTTCAAGCAGAAGCAGAGGAGGTATGAAAGCAAATCCTGAATTGGGAAGGAAAAGACCTTCCAAAAAATTAATCTTGCTGCTTAGCGCAGAGCAAAACCCCAATTTTCCCAGCTGCATTATTCCTCCTTTGGTTTGAAGCTGTTATTAGGGGCTGCTTATGGCACTGGGCTGCTGTGATTCAGAGCCAGTGTTTTAATCCACCCTTCAAATTAGAATCCTTGAAAAGGATTTGGATATTCTCAGCTTATCCTGTCCTCAGGAGCACACGGGGGACGTCAAATTCAGCTTCCCCTAAGCCTGGATTCACCCAGCCCAGCTCTGCCTCTCCCTCCCTTCTCTCCCAAAACCCTGAATGCAAATGGACAGAGGGAATATGAACAATTCCTTCCCAAAAATCTCATCTAAATCTCTTTTAGTTTAAAGCCATCCCCCTTGTCCTATCACTAAAAAGTCACCCTCCCTCTTTAAAATCCTGATTTTTATGGAGCTGTTTAGTGGGATGGTATTGGGAAAATGAAAGTCCAGAATGGTGCAGAGGGGACTTCTGGAATCCAAATGAAACAAGAATTTTCCTGCCAATGTTAATTACTTGGGGTTTTCTTTTTCCCCCAAAAAAATATTTTAACCTGTGCCGGACATTCACCCAGCCCCACGGGGGTCACTGTCCGGCAGGGAGACCCCTGGGGAATGGGTTGGGGGTGGGAGATGGGAGCAGGAGATGTTTGTGGGAAATCTCAGCCACGCTGCCCCTCAGCCACCCCCTCTGCCTGTCCCCAGAGTGATTTACGGGCTGTGCCCACATCCACAGCCCCATCCCAGGAGCAGCAGGGTCACAAATCCCACCCTGCTGGGCCCATCCCACATCCCCATCCCATCTCCCCATCTCACCTCCCCATTCCAGGGAGCAGCAGGGTAGGGTGACAGATCCCACCCTGCTGTCCCCATATCCCACATCCCCATCCCAGGGAGCAGCAGGGTGACAAATCCCACCCTGCTGGGCCCATCCCAGGAAGGAGCAGGGCAGGGTGACAAATCCCAACGCAGGGTGACTGTCGGGCAGGGAGAGCCCCCCGGGGAATGCACAGACCCCTTCTGGGGAACCCCAGCCCCACGGGGGTGACTGTCCGGAGGCAAAGCCCCCCGGGGGATGCACAGACCCCTCCGGGAACCCCAGCCCCATGGGGTGACTGTCCGGCGGGAAGAGCCCCCTGGGGGATGCACGGACCCCCTTCCCGGGGAACCCCAGCCCCGCAGGGAGAGCCTCCCGGGGGATGCACAGACCCCTCCGGGAACCCCAATCCCAGCCCCACGGGGTGACTGTCCCCGGGGGATGCACGGACCCCCCTCCCCGGGGAATCCCAGCCCCACGGGGGTGGCTGTCCGGCAGGGACACCCCTCCCCGAGCGGGGATTCCCGGCGACAGAGCGCGGGGACATTCCGGTGCGCGGCCGGGGAATGCCGGGGCGAGCAGCGCCAACACCGCGGGGGCAGCGAGCGCGGAGCGCCCCGACCCCGACCCTGGGGGGGTCCCACGGGAGGGGCGCCCGCTGCCGGTGCCTCCCCCGCCCTCCCCGCCCGTGTCTCCTCCCTCCGGCCGGGCCGAGCGCCCGCCCCGCGCCGCCGCCGCCGCTCCGAGCCCATGGCATCGCCGGCCGTGGCGCCGTGCCCCCGCCCGCTGCCGCCCCCCGTGCCCGGCTCCATGCGCCGCCCGCCGGGCCCCGCCGCGACCCCCGCCCGCCCCGAGGGGAGCCCCGGCGGGGCCAGGGCTGCGCGGCGGCTGCGGCGGCGCGGGGGAGCCCCGCGGCTGCTGCCCGACGTGCGGAGCATCTTCGGGGCGCCCCGAGAGCCCCCCGAGCGCGGCCGCGGGCACCGCTTCGCCCCGCGCCTGCCGCGCCGGGGATGGTGCGACCTGTGCGGGGAGGCGGTGCGGGAGCGAGCGCTGCGCTGCGACTGTGAGTGCTGTCCCCTGCCTGCCCCTCCATATCCCCTGCGTGCCGCATGCTGTCCCCTGCTTATCCCCTGCTTGCTCCTCGCTGTCCCCTGCTTGCCCCTCTCTGTCCCCTGCCTGCGTCTCGCTGTGTCCTGCCTGCCCCTCGTTGTCCCCTGCTTGTCCCAACCTGCTCCTCGCTGTCCCCTACCTGTTCCCTGCCTGCCCCTCTCTGTCCCCTCACTGTCCCCCACCTGCCCCTCATTGTCCCTTTCCTGCCCCTCACTGTCCCCTGCCTGTCCCCTCCTTGCCCCTCGCTCTCCCCTGCTTGTCGCCAGCTTGCCCCTCTCTGTCCCCTCTCTGTCCCCTGCCTGTCCCTCGCTGTCCCGCACCCCTGCCCTCCCTCCCCGCATCCCTCACCCTGCCCGGACTCTCTCCCAGCCCCTCTCCCTCCCCTCGCCCCACTCTGCACCCCTGGGGTCCGGTTTGGGCCGGGCCGGGTCCCCCCACACCGGGCCGGGGTCTCCGGCTGTGGGTGCGGAGCTGCCAGGCGGGTTTGGAAAGCGCAGCTTTTCCAGGAAACAGGAGATGATGATCGCTGCTGGGCGGGGTTGGCATCAGCGGCGAGCAGGGAGGGTTGGCGTGTGTAAAGCGTTACAGCGAGGGGTAAAGTCCTCGGGAATTTGTGCCTGAAGCTCTGCCCGAACCCTGGGTGAGGGAACTTGTGCCAGGGATGGCTTGTGTGATGGCTTTGCCAATGATGGCTTTGCCAATGATGGTTTGTGCCAGGGATGGCTTGTGCCAATGATGGGTGATGTTTCCTGATGCATTCCACCTGGGTGCCTTGTGCCAGTGATGGCTTTGCCAATGGTGGCCTGTGCCAGTGATGGTTTGTGCCAGTGATGGCTTGTGCCAGTGCTCCTGATGCTGCTGGTGCTCTGCAGGAGATTCATCCCTCCCCTGGCTGGGAGTGACCCGTGTCAGGGGTAGCAGGAGGGGAAACGAAGAGGTTTTATCAAAGCTGTGTCACTGATAACCTTGGGATCTGGGCCCTGCTGGCTGTGAAACCGCTCCTGCCCCGCTCAGTCGGGGAAACTTTTTTGGGATGCAGCTCTAGGCCTTGAGGGACTTGAAAATTTCCTGGTGGGGGTCAGGAGCCTCTGGATTTTTGGCAAAATTTCCTGGTGGGGTCAGCTGAGCCTCTGGATTTTTGGCAATGCTGATGCCATTCCCTGCAGATCTGTGCCCACAGCATCACCTGTACCTGTGATGGGTGTGGAGGGCAGGGAGGCGATGCCAGTGATAATTTGGGAGTGACCCATCCCACTGGGGGTGGGGGAATGGTCGCTGCTCATTTTTGGGGTTGTTTAGGGGGTCTGTGCCTCAGCAGGGCAATCAGTGCCTGGCTCAGGCAGTCCTGGTGCCCGGCTTGGCTTTCCTCAGCTCACGAACCCATTCAATGTTTTTTTGGGATCCGTGGGGCGGGCAGGGCTCTCTGCGGTGCCGTTTGGGATGGAGGGCGGCCGGGGGAGGCAGCAGCACCATCTGGCCCTGCTGCAGCGAATTAGGGCTTAGCCCTAATGACTGCTGTTAATTAAATGTCACCCAGCCGCCACCACAACGTGACACGGCGGGGCTGCACCCTGGTGGCAGGAGCGGGATGTAAATCTGATGTAAATCTGATTTATAGGGTGCACCTTTGCTTTCTGTTGGCATTCCTGGTTCATTCCCTCAAAAGCTGCTGAGGGCCAGGAGATTCCCCGGGGCTGGGAGCTCCTGGCATGAATGTGTGTGCTTAAAGAAATATCGAGTTTAGGAGAAATAAGGATTATTTAAGGGGGAAAATCTTTGTTGAAGCTTTTTCACCAGCCCCTGAAGCTGGGATGAGGGGTGAGGTGAGGTTTTTGTGCTTTGAAATCCTGACTTGAACTAGAAATTCACAGAATTTTGTGGTGTTGCAAAATGCTGCATAAAGAGCTGTTTTGAGGGACTTCTCCTCTGGCAGGATGTTTTCCATACTTATATTGAAACCGATTTTAAATAACTCCATTTCCCTTTTCATTTCAGAGAATTATGCAGACTGTGGGAGTAGTTCTGCCTCAAAAACTCCCCAAACAACCGGCATGGGGGGGAGGGACACTCATATCTGCATTCCCTGTCATCCCAATGGTGATTCCCATTAAAAATGCCTGAGAGCTGCAGACGGGGCGTGCTCTCCCCCTTCAGTGAACATTTATTTTTTTTCTTTCTGATGCAGAGTTGCTGCTTGCTTGCTTTTTGACTTGCAGCCTGAGGATACTCAGGTTTTTTGTTTGTGCAGTTCTGGCCTATTTTTTTTTACGTCAGATCTGGCTGTATTTAGTGATGGAAAAGTAATAGTAATATTAAATATATATTAATATTAGATAATTTATGTTAATAATTATTAAATTAAGTATAATAATAGAGTAATATTAAGTTATAATTAATAATTAAACTTAATGATTAAATTATCTTAATATATAAATATTAAAATTAATATTAAATTGATATATATTAAATATATCATTATATATTAAATTAATATATAAATATTAAATAGTAATATTAAAATGGGAAACTGACATTTATTTATTTATTTACATTTATAATTTTATTTATTTATTTAAATAACTAAATAAATAAATATTATATATAAAAATGAATATTATATATAATATTATAAATAAATAAATTTATTTATAATGTTTATTTATTTATTTATTTATTGTGATTATTTATTTATTTATTTATTGTGATTATTTATTGTGATTATTTACAGTTCATTCTAGAGAAAAGGAGTCTCAGGGAGACTTTTCTGCTTTTAACCCAAGCTCTGCCCATGGGTGCTGCACCTGGGGCTGGTGCAGATGTTGCCTGAGACATTTGGGAGCCTTTTTTTTCCTTGCTTTTATTTGGAACTTTCCAGGCTCTGTGCAGGGCAGACATCCAGCATCCTGCTCCCAGCTGGTGTCAGCATGCAAGGATGGGGAGGTGGGAGCAAATCCTACAGGAATTCCCTGAAAATCCTCATTTCCAGCCTTGGAGGGAATGGTTTGGGCAGGAGGAGGAGCTGTGCCTTGAACAGCTCCTGTCTAATGCGTGTGGCTTTGTGCTGTCAGCTCCCAGAGCTGCCTGTAGTACAGTAAATCACCTCTGTGTGGGTGTGAATGTCTGTCCTGCTGCCTGGGGACAGACAGCTTTTCCTGCCAGCAGGGAGGAGCAGGGTGCAGAGGTGCTCTGGGCTGTTTGGGTGCAGTTCTTGGGTGTCCTGGTGACTCACGGCAGCTTCAAAGCCCTCTGTGTGCTCCCCTGGCCTCTGGGACAGCACAGAAACCAGGCTGGGCTCGGAGCTGGGGCAGCTTCCTGCTGGGAAGGGCTGGGTGGGAATGGCTTGGTGTCTCTGACAGCCAAAAATGAAGGATTTTGATATTTGTGTTGATAAAATGAAGGGTTTCTTTGCAAGGAAACCAGCCCTGGCTGCTTCCCTGTGGGCAGGGCTGGCGTGGGGCAGCCCTGCAGGGAAACCTCAGAGCGTGCCCAGCTGCTCTGCAGAGCCGGAGCCAGCTTTGATCTGCAGCTCTTGACACACAGAGCCAGCTCAGCAAATCACCTGAGCACCCAAATGGGGTTTGTGACTCTGCTCACCTCAGCATCCAAATGGGGTTTGTGCCTCTGCTCAGCCCCTCAGCATCCAAATGGGGTTTGGGCCTTAGCTCATCAAAGTCCCTCAATATCCAAATGGGGTTTGTGACTCTGCTCAGCAAAAACATGAGCATCCAAATGGGGTTTGGACCTCTTGTTCTGCTCAGCAAAGCCCCTCAGCGTCCAAAAGGGGTTTGTGCCTCTGCTCAGCCCAACAAAGCTGAGACCTCAGCATCCAAATGGGGTTTGTGCCTCAGCCCAGCTCAGCAAAGCACCTCAACATCCAAATGGGGTTTGTGCCTCTTCTCAGCAAAACTCGGCATCCAAATGGGGTTTGTGCCTCATGTCAGCTCAGGTCAAAGCCCCTGAACATCCAAATGGGGTTTGTGCCTCTTCTCAGCAAAGCTCAGCATCCAAATGGGGTTTGTGCCTCTTCTCTGCTCAGCCCAGCATCCAAATGGGGTTTGTGCCTCTGCTCAGACCAGCAAATAATCTGAGCATCCAAATGGAGTTTGTGCCTGTGTTCTGCTCAGGAAAGCCCCTCAGCTTCCAAATGGGGCTTGTACCTCAGCTCAGCTCAGCATCCAAATGGGGTTTGTGGCTCTGCTCTGCTCAGCTCAAAGCTCCTGAGCACCCAAATGGGGTTTGTGCCTCAGCCCTGGAGCCGCCCTGATCTCCCTGAGCAGCTCCCTCTGTGTTCAGGCCCTGTGCTGAATCAGCCCCTGTTTCCTTAAGCTGGTAAAACACCATTTCTCTTTCTGATTTGTAGAGCAAACTTCATTTGTAACACTGCTGGTTCTCAGGGAGCCGTTTGTTTAAAATAAGGAGCTCTTTACCGAGTCCTTTACCTGGCTCTGCTCACACTTTGCTGCTCCTGTGGCTTCTGTGCCTCTCCTCCCACACTCAGCCTCACCCCTGTAAACAACAATCGCCGACAGGACCCGCAGCACTTTGCATTTCTGTCCCGTTCAGCTGATCCAGGCACATCCCTGCAGCTTTTCCTGCTGCCAGGTGGGGATGGCTGGGGACAGGGTGGGGTCCAGGGTGGGTCCGGGGGTGCCTCCCGCCCACTGCAGGCAGGGTGTGCTCCTCCTGCTCCTCCCCGCGAGGAGATGGGGCTGTGGGCAGGGACAGGGACCTGCCCAGAGCTGTGGGACAGGCTCCTGGGCTGCCTGGCTCTGCCAGGGTGATGTTTCCTGCCACCTTCCACCTGGGTGCCTTGGGAAGGGGTTATGGAGAGAGACACCGGCCAAGGCTCCAGCTCCCTCCTTGCAGGTTGGTTTTTGGGCTTCTCTCTCTGTTTTATCCCAGTGGAGTTTGCTGGTCTCCAGCTTTCAATTTGCAGGTTGGTTTTTGGGTTTC